GATAGATAGATAGATAGATAGATAGATAGATAGATAGATAGATAGATAGATAGATAGATAGATAATGATAACTAGAGGTAGAGATTGACTTTTGACCTTCTACTGGCTTCCCCAATGACTTTGTTGGAAATCAGCAGTGAAAGTCAGAAAGAGCAATCATGTTACCATGTGATGCTACAACCATCATAAACACAAGCTGGATGCCAAGTACCTGAATCATTATCATGTGACTGCAGCACCACTGTGATCACCACGACTCAGAGGAACAGTTCCCTCATTCAGGCTTAACCTAACTTCAAACTGTCACTGAATGAGTGGTTGCTGAATGAGGACCATCTGTGTATTCTTCCAAATATTGAGAGTTTGAATCTTCAACATCAGTTTCCAATATAAGAATGTATGTTGTTGCACTCAATGAAAAAACATTTTTGGCCGATGTTTATTAACTCTTCTATTGCAGTCATTTTTTTTTAATGCTGCACGTTTTCCTTTGTGTTATGTGCCTGATTGCCATAGCAACTTCTCCACATTTTTAGGAGTTTGCATGAATTCTAGAATTCCAAAAAGCTTAATTAGCTCCAAAACATTAATAACTGAGACGAATTCAACATTGATGCTAGTAGGGTGTGTTTTCATCATGATCCTATCACTTCAGATTGAGAATGAAGCTTCTCAGGATTTCCCTGGTTATATATTGAAGGTTTATTATTTTTCTCCCAAAGAGGATTATTTGTGTTATTGATGACTTGTAGAATCAGGTGATTCTATCCATGTGTGACTGAATCACTACAGAGAACACAGAGTTGTAATGTTCTTATGCATGTTACCAGATGATGAATAATGGACAAGAGTCCTATATTCTTAACTGCCAAAGAGCTCTTCCTTTCTTGGCGCTTGGTTCAAATGTGTAATGAAGCTACAAAGCCAACTGATATTCACGTCTTTTTTTCCTCAGTAATAATATAATAATATGCTTCTCTCATTTTGCCCCACTCTTTTATGATTCACAAGCAATCCCAACTGAACTATTTGCTTAGTACTCCAGGTAACACAACGTAGAAAGAAAAAGAGTACTTTAGGGTAGGTTGCTTACACTCACACCCATGCTCAAATACTGACATAAATATATATTTGTGGATGAGCATATTATTACCAATCTAAATCATTCCATGGCAGGATTAAAGCCTCATCATTGAAGATTTTGGACCATAATGTATTATACTATGCTAGAGCAGGTTGATGCATGAAACATGCATCAATCAACATGCTCTGGTACATCACAGTCCAAAATCTTCAATTAAAAGACTTTAATCATGACATGGAATGATTTAGATTGGTAATAATAACATGTATAAACACCAATCCACAAACGTATATTTATGTCAGTAATTTTTAACTCCCCAGTCAAAGAATAAGACAGTATGATTGGCCCAAGTCACCCAGGTAGTTTCTGTTTGAAAGGGAGGACTCAAAATATTTCCCCACTCTTAGTCCAGCACTGTACTCACCATACTGCTTGTCATGCATATGTATATACATATGTCTTGGGCAGAAAAAGACTACTCTATAATATCTTATTCAGATATTAATTAAATACCGCTAATAGTAATTATGAAGTTTCTTCTTTTAGTGTTACATATTTTTCTGATAAATTTTCTGATAATATTTTTATACAACTAACTATACAATCATGAGGATCTCTGTGATGTTTTATTCTCAATGGTTCTGAAAAAGATACCACATTTAGACAAATTTATGCAGTTCATTAGTACTCATCCAAAGAGTTATTGTACACATAAAACAAGTATGTCGAGCCATGTCTTTTGTTACTCACCAAGTACAAAAATTATGTTTGATTTCTTCAGGTCTTCTGTAAAATCTAAATTAAAATGAAAATAGTTTTAAACAATAGTTGTAAGCAAAACATAGATAGTTTTGTAAAGTCTATCACAGTGGTTCTCAACCTGTGGTCCACGGATCCTTGGGGGGGTATGCAATTTCATCACAGGGAGTCTGCCAAGGCTTGAAGAAATATTATGATTTAAATCTTAAGTTAAGTCTTGGGGATCTGTGGCCATGATTCATGGCCACAAAAGGTATTTAAAGAGGATCCATAGTGAAGAAAAGATTGAGAATCACTGATCTATCATATTAACTTTACAATATGATCTTATGTGTCTCTACAAGGAAAAAATACTGAAAGTTGTGTTCACTAAAATCTGTGGAGTACTTGGTGCTCTCTGAGCTTGGTTGTTTTCTTGCAGATGTTTCATTACCCAACTATGTAATACCATCAGTGTTAAGTGTGGGATTCACTCTTGTCTATATAGAGTAGCTTGCCTGCCAGTTTTGGTGGGAATGTGAGTTTCTTTTTGAGAGTTCTTTGATTAAGATGTTTTCTGCTTAACTGTTTGCTTCTTACACAGCTCCGCTTGTGGGAGGTTGGGTTGTTACTTTAGTAATGGCGCACTTGGTTAGTGTGGGTTGTTTTTCGAAAGACTTGTTTCTAATTTGCCATCATTTCCTCTNAGAGCAGCAAGCTGTGGTCAAAACCAGACATTTCAGACAACAGGCAGTTCTCAACTTATGACAACTGGTAATGGAACTTCAGTCACTAAGTGAGTCATTGTATCACCAGATCCAATTTTGTGATTATGGTTATGGTTAATGGTCATTAAACAAATCACATGGTTGTTAAGTGAATCAGACTTCCCAATTTACTTCCCTTGTCAAAAGTAGGCTGAGAAGGTTGCAAATTGCAATCACGTGACTACAATATGCTGCAACCATAATAAATGTGAGCTTGTTGCCAAGTATCTGAATTGTGATCATATCAACGTGAGGGCAATGTGACAGTCATAACTTCAAGGATCGGCTGTAAGTGACTTTTTCCAAGGTCATAACTTTGAATTGTTGTTAAATGAGCTATTGTAAACTGTGGATTACCTGTAGTATTAATCCAGTAATACAATGTTGATAGTGAGCATGTATTTACAATGTTGAAAGAATCTATTTGTTTCATCTACTAATATAAATAGCAAAGATCCTACTATTGAGAAAAATAATAAATCTATTCACAATATATTCTGATTTCATAGCTCTTCAAAATGCTTAGCTTAATATCAAAAATACATAATTCTTACCTACTAAGTGCAAAGTCTGGATTTTAGCTCCTATTGGTATTTTCAATTTATTTTCAGGTGGAATTGGGAAGGCACCATTACGATTACGAAACTTCCCTAGGATGTGAACCTGGGGCATATATGTCCAAATGGCTTCTACTAGTTCCAAATGGGAAGTCTCAACACCCTAGGTTATGGGGAAAAAATCCAGAATAAACAGCCAAGCATCATTATAGCAAAATAGTATTTATTTTATATATATTATTACCCAAATATTGCCAAATTATGAATAATTCTGTATTAGTATTCATTAAGCCAACTTCACCAATAATTATTAATTGTACATTAGTTGCATACAATATATGCATAAAAAATAGCAGATCTAAATCTCCTTGCTAAACTTTATAGCCCACCTTTCTAAGAATCCACAGCATAGCAATCAATAAAATTATCGTTTATGTATCCATAAAACAATTCTTTAGACTGCTATATAAAACTATATTCTCCAGGACTATTTTGATAAACCACACATTGATACATCATAGCTAATTACATTAAACTTGTTAATTTTTGCAACTCCATTGCCAAATTATTTTTCCTCACTCTGCAACTAAACTATACACAAAACAAGCATAATCAATGCGTATATCATGTGATTTTATGTAATAAACTGTTCTTTGTATGCTATGTTTCATTCATAGATTGCTGACTTCTTATAGTAACAGATTGTGTTTTAAGGGCCAACTTCCAGCTTTAATTGAAACAGAAAACTCCATGTGAGTTTTTTTTATTAAAGTTGCTTCAGATGCAATAATGAAATCCAGATTCAAAGGCATAAATTGTATCTATAAAATACAAAGCCATCTGTCCTTCCAAATTGTCTCCAATATCTTCTACATATGTCCCCTTAATTCTTATCCAGAATGACAGCTGTCAAATGAAATTACATATTTATGTTTTGAACACATACCAAGAGATTTGGGCAAGCCTGCAAAGCTTCTAGTACCCCAGGAATGCTGAAGGCTTCATAACCCCGAACCCTACGTCTGTCAAGGTGCCTAGGATGAAGGCCATATAGCTGCTCAATGTCTGGCATTTTCTTCAGCAAGGTTAGGAAGCTGGAATCTGTGAATCCTACACAAACAATCCGTATTTCATTTTTTAAATTAAAAACTGTTATGTAGATGTATAAAGACAAGTAACTATCTTTATTTTATCGTACATACACCACCATTTACATTTTGGCATATTCTTTTGTAATTTTAGAATTCAAAGACAACACTGCAGAAAGATGCTACTACTATTGAGGGAAACTGAACTATATGCAAGAAGAAAACATAACTGAAATAATACAATTTTTCTCTAAAAAGACAACCCACCTTGAAAAGAAGCCCTATCACATTTTTGAGCGCAAGCAATCAAATTAAACCCCACAATTTGGGAGCTGCCCTACATACCAGGCCTTGCACACCCCGACACCTGCCTCACCTTCTTCTACGGCACATGCATTGCCCTAACCTCCATTTCGATTGATCCGGAGCTCTGTTATCTGTTGCAGATTCCTTCCAACAAGCATCTGAAGGCAAAACAGAGGCCGGGGAGATGTGTCCGAGTGGCGGCAAGCGATCGCAGAAGAAGTTGGCCAGCAGCAGGCTCCTGCTGGGTGGGGCTGTTGGTGCCACCACTGCGAGGTGAGTCAATAATTAGAACCCTCCAAAAAGGTCTTTTTTTGGAGGGAGGGGGTGTCAAAAGAAAATAAGAAAGACCCAACCTTCTTTTTGGAGAAACGCAGTAGTTTACAAATGGAAGGGTTTAAATATATATTTAATCAAATACATATTTAATTCACCAAAGTATAATTTGGTAAGTGGTATCACACTTCTACATTATAATGGATCAGGATGACTAGTTTTTTCACCACACATCTTGGGTGTGTGTGTGTGTGTGTGTGTGTGTGTGTTGAGATTTAATTTCCACCTGAGTATATTATCCATATACTCCCAATTTTAAATTTTCCTTCAAAAGGAAGAAAAGACAGTTGGCTCATTATTGTACAAGGCTTCTTTATTCCCTGCTTTAAAGGGGAGTACTAAACTTGTCCTTTCTGAAACTTCTCCTAAGTTTTGCTGACTTTTTAGAATGCCTGCAAAATATTAGGCAAGTTCAGACACTTTCCACAGAAATATAGAATAAATTCCCAGTGACTCGGGATAAAGATTAAATTTAAAGATTAAAGTTTCATTTCATAAGATCCCTAATCCATTACTTCTACATAGCTGACTGCCTAATGAAAAGTTGCTTTCTCTTAAAATACATACATGATACTAAGAGCTTCTGCCATCTCTTTATTATTCAAGGAAGCTTTCCCATACACACATAACATTTGTGGACATTTTTTTAATGCTATATCTAAGCAGAAAATGTAATTAAAATTGTCAGGTTTACAGCACCACTTACCAGTGGGCATGTACTCCCACCAGCGACCTGCGCAGAGATCCACAACTTTTACTACTCTTAGATACAAGATGACAGCTTCCTTTAACTTCCGGGAGAGGCATTCCATGCACATGATATCCTGCAGGGGAAGATACCTTCAGGAAGGAAATAAAATGGGATTAATTCTTAGATGGTTTCTTTCCTCTACTACTATAGTAAAGAACAATTTGTATACTAAAGAACATTAGTATTAACAATTACAGCAAGAAATAAACTCAACAGAACGAAAACAGAACTGTAATAAAACATGTGGTTTATTTATTCTTTTTCAATCAAGTAACAATTGTTTCTTTGGGAGAATCACATCCTAAAATATTAAAAAGACAAAGACATCACATGTGTAAACATTGCCATCCAATCATGGCACCGGAGCTTCAAAATTACCAGGTTGAATTTTTAGAATAGCTGGGAACTAAGGAATATATTTGTCAGGCAATGAAAAAACAATGTAAGTTACCAAAGAGGATATTTGATAAATAAGTTCTGCATCTTATAGTCATACAAAGTATGGAGAGAAAAAACCCTCCCTGTATACAATGTTTTATTTATTTCATAGGCCCATGATTATTCAGCAATGATAAATTACTACACCAAAAGTGGCAATCTGAATCTTCTTTTGAAATGAAACTTTTAAAACAATTTGAAAGGCCCCCCCCCCCTGTCTGCAACAGCACAACCCCAAAAGTAACTCAACAACCCCTATTTTTAGAAAGCAGTTAAGACCTGGCTCTTTCAGAGAGCCTTTGGATATGGTGTGTATGGTTACTTGCTCCTGAAGAATAATATCCTAAACAAGTGGCACTAGGCAATGTGTGGATGATTATGATACTTTTTTTCTGCAACACAAAGTGTTTCACAAAGTAATACATAATGTGTTGGCATAATGTTACCCAAACCTCTAAATGGAAGCAGTTAAATGTCAACATTAGGTTTGTTATCACTGACCATTAAAGTGAATGATGGGAGATATTAAAACTGAAACAAAATCTGTTTTCTTACCTAAAGATATGGCAAAGCACTTCATGTGAAAGCTGGTTCATGTAGTCTTTCAGCTCAGCAGCTTTGATGCATACAGGACTCTCCCGGCTAGTGGAATACACTTTCATGTTTTTCCGCCTAGGCCCCATTTTGATTGTATTTGCAGATTATAGGGTACGGCACTTCTAAGGACAGTGGAACTGAAAGAGAAAATTAAAATAAGTGAACAATTTTAATGGCTACTTAAATTAACATAAAAGTCTATGTAAAATTTATATACACACGAAGCTTAACAAACGCAATGCAAAAACTAAGAGCAGCCATCTGGAAAGATGTGTTATACTCTCCACTATGCACAGAAACTTCCATTTGGATGGAAGGATGGAAGACATTTTCTGATTAGGAGAAACCAGTTTGTAAATGAAACCCAAGACACATCTCTGGTGAAAAAATCATTAGTGTTAGTGAAAATTACAATTAGTGCTCCAAAGCCAAAGGAATATATATTCA